GCGTATAGTCAAGCTCTACTTTTGTGATCCCGAGGCGCCGGAGGACTCCATTTGGGAGCATCGAAAGGATTGATCTTCAGCGTCAGCCTTCGATTCCTGACTGTCGCACTGCTGCAATTGAGCTGCTTGGCAAGAGTCGGATCAGAAACGGTTCCAAGCAATGCGTCCAGCTCCGGGGTCCACCTTGGCTCGACGTAGCTCGCCTGGCCTAACGGAACCACCCAATCAGTGGGGATGGGTGTGTCGACTCCCAGACTCCTTGACGCGCGCCGTCTTTTCAGGCGGGCCAAATAGATGTCCCTTTTTTCTCGGATCCATTCAGGAATTCCCATGCCGTAATCTGGATAGCGCAAATACGGTTGTGGTTCGTCCTCCAAGCAATTATCAGGGTGATTCAGAATCCGCAGCATTTTGGAAACTCTTCTGGCGACTCCTGAGGTTGTCAAACCAAATTTATTGGCGACTACTGAAAGAGTTTCCCCCACCGCTATGCGGAAGAAACATTCCTCCAGCGCGTCATCGTCAATTTCTTTCATTGCGATCCCTCTGCTTGACCAAGCTGATCACGAAAACCGTACTCGCCTCAGGCTCTGATCCATGTACGAGCGGAAGTAACAGGCAGCGTCACTAATACTACCGAGATTCATCGCACATCCTTCTGTTGGCCAGCGGGGCTTGTGGCCTCATCGTTCTCTTCCGTGACGGGTTACGCGGCTTCTCCATTACAAGCCCTTTGCGCTACTTCTCGCGCGTCGCGTTGTATGTGCGCTGGGCTTCGGAGCAGCAGATGGTTTCGGGGAACCAGAGACCTTCTTGGGCGCGGAATCTTCTCCGCTTCCAGCGTTGCCAGACTCTTTCTCCTCTTGAGTCTTGATGAATTTCGAGAGTCCTTGAACGGTCACAAAATGATCGTTCTTCTCAAGCCACTGGCAGATCTGGGACAGAGAGTATTTCTTCCTTCTTGCAAGCTTAATCTCATCCCAGAATTCGAGAAGCCTGGACTCCCGTCCGGCGGGCTCCGTGGATTTCATAAATTCATCCAACGAGAATTTTCTCTTGTTCGTCATGCTGGCAATGTGGGCGAATATGGTCGTGGTGTCATTGTAACGCACATGTGCGTATTAACAACCCTTTTGCGCAGCTTCTTCAGTGAGAAGTTTCACAGCCCAATCGGGCGCAGGACGGGCACTGCCGAGCGCAGGATCGGATTCCCAGGCCTGCACCGTTCGCAGCTTGCATGGG